CTTAAAAAAAAAAATTGTCCATTACTCTATCCCTACTGCTTCTATTTTAGTTCAGCTCACACCTAGAATATTACAACAGTTTCCCAGCCTCCAGTCTTGATCTCATTCTTAGCCACTTGCCACTTTGCAACTATTAAAATATAAATTTAACTATGATATTTTCAAACTTTAAACTTTCAAGCCCTTCAATAAATCCCTGCTACCATCAGGATAATATCCAATACCCCTTCTCAGCCATCAAGGCCTTGTAAGATTTGATCTGTCTTGTCTACTTAACCTTTTCCCTTTCCTCAAATCTGTCCGCACCTCACCCTAGCTATTGCTTGCAGATTCCTCAAGCCAAAACTGTGTCTCATTCAGACTTCAGTACCTAAATCCTAGGGAGCATGGCACATGCTGTCAACAAATATTGCTTTCTTTAACCTATTACATCTTTTCCTGCCCGTATACTGTTTTCATCATGTTATTCCATTTCTCAGAAACTTTCAATGACTCCCTCTTACCTTATCAAGTTTAAATTCCTTTGCTTGGCTTTTTCAACCCCTCACGATCTGTCCCTCATGCTAAATTTCTAATCTTATTTCTAACTGTGCCTCAATATGTACCCTTTTTTATGGTCTTACAAATATGACATATCTATGCCTTAGCTCAAGCTGTTTCTCTCTCTTGGAATAGATGCCTTTCTTCCAACATCTCTCCACAAAAATTCTATCCATCCATATCCTCTCCTTATGAAGCCGTCTTTGACTAATCATTTTTTATATGTCAGCACTCACTTAGGAGATTTTCTAACAGGAGGAGCCTTTAAAAATGGACTGGTCCCTATTTTTGTTTCACACGATATGCACCTATAGTTATCTCTTATAGCACTTAGCATAGTGCTGAGTTCAGAACAGATGCTCTTGTAGGGCTTTGTCCCATCTAAAAAATGTATACAATCTAGGGCTATAGTTGTTTGTAGTATGTAGATATTAGTCAGTTTTAGGTGACAGCCTATGAAAAAACAAATTTTTAATTTCATATTTAGAAAATGGCTAACATATTAAGTAAATAAAAGATATGTGGGGATGGACAGGGTTATAGTGGGCCAGGGGTTGAGACATTTCTGTTGTTCAAACCTAAACTGGCCTAAGCTTCAGAGGTATTTTGAAAATAAAGAGTTTAGGTAGAAGACTGTTCACTGCCCACTCATTTTTTATCCCTGCAAAGTTCAGTTAGCTACTCCAGTGAGGTTCCCTTAAATGATATTCAGAAGGTCGCAGTAAAGAAGAAGCAATCAGTTCCCTAGTATTCTTTTAAAGAACATTCTCTCTCTTCTTTTGACTTCCTCTTGCTCTGCCCCTCCCAGTACAATTCCTTTAAAGAACTTAAATCATTTTTTAACCTCTTTTAAGATTATGTGCATCAATGAGGTAAGTTATGTTACAAACCTTGCCAAAGTGTAGTGATTGTGAGCCTTTCTTATAAACATTTTCTTTGATCTTTCTCCCCCTACTGCCAACAGCTATCTGTCTAATCATAAACCAATTTTGGAAAAAAAAAACTTGATATACAAATACATTTGTGATACTTAATATATCTTTTAGATAGAATTTGAAAGCCTCTGCATCGTGCCAGAATGTCCTCCTTTATTTTGCAGCAGGTCTAATGAAATCCTGACTCTTGCCTAACCCGGAGCATGGACACTAGTAGATTTATTTCTGGAAAACTCTGACATCCAGAGAACATTTTCTAGCTATTTATGTAATCAGTGAATAGAGGTATCCTCAAAGCAATTTTTCTAATATGTAAGCTTTTTGAGGGCAGGGGCCATAGTTTATTTTTTATCATTAGTGCCTATTATGGTGCCTAATATAGTAGGCACTCAGTCAATCTCTACAGACTGAGTGAATAAATTATTACAAAGACTGGTCTCCACCCAGCAGAAGACTCATAGTTTAATACAGAAGACAACACAAATAGCAGCTGTCATCATTATCGTCATTAAAAATATTTATTGAATAACTAATTTTACTTGGTAAGGTGCTAGAGTTTATTAAAAAAATATTAACATCATTCTCTCTTTCAGGATAAAAACTTTGAAAGAATGAAAAGACTTTCATTCATAAAACAAATTTTTATTGAGCACTTGCTACGTTCTAGCATTGTACAGGCACTGGGGATACAATGGCAAACAAGGCAGACAAAAATCCCTGCCTTTGGGGAGCTTAAATTAAAATGGGGGTGAATACCAATAAGCAAAATATCTATTATTTTAGTGATAAGTGCTAAGGAAAAAATTAATATGGAATTCAGGATATGAAGTGGGAGTGTTGAAGTTTTAGATAAAATGGCTAGGGAAGTCCTCATGCAGGTAACCTGTGAATGAAAAGAAGGAAGAAAGTAAAGATATGAAACAAGGTCGTATTTCTAAAACAGGAGAAAAAGGTGAGGTGAGGAGAACTAGCGTGTGAAAGGGTAGATGTTACACTGGCCCACTTCCACATGTAGCATTGAGTATTGGGTCTCACTACCATCATACACCAGTGCTTTGGGGCTCACTGTATGCAATATGCCTAGACAGCCATGTGGTTTTAATTGGTAGGAGTGCTGAGGGAATGGTTTGTAGATTGAAGCAGAATAAATAAAGCACTTAAACTAGTGTCAGGTGGGAGGTCATAAAGCTGCTTCAGCAGCTTTTGCTAATTTGAATTCCTACATCCAAATGAAAGATAGAAGATGCTCTTAGAAATTATTGTAAGATGTAATGAGAAAAGAAAGCAGGAAAAATGAAGCAAGTGAATTTGAGAATCTGGAAGGGATTAATGAATGTTAAGCAAAGAGAAAGACAAAAAATAGGACCAGCAATGCAAAGGCCCAATGGTGATCTGGAGAGCTCCAAAATGAATGTGGAACATGGTGGGGGTGTGTGTGTGTATGTGTGTAACTTGCATTGGTGTCTTATGGATTGAGGCGTGTCCCCAGCAAATTTGTATGTTTAAGACCTAACACCCAGTATCTCAGAATTTAACCTTATTTGGAAATAGGGTCATTGTAGTTATAAAGATGAGGTCATACTAGAGTAGCTGGGCCCCTAATTTACTAATGACCGACGTCCTTATAAAAAAGGACACCACATTTGAACAGACATGCCACATGAAGATTGTGGAGTTACGCCACCACAAGCCAACGACCTATCAGAAGCTAGGAGAGGCCTGGAAGAGATCCTTCCCTAGTGCCTTCAGAGGGAGCATGGTCCTGACAACACTTTAATTTTAGACTTCTGGCCTCTGGAACTGTGAGACAATCAATTTCTATTGTTCTGAGCCACACAGCTTGTGATACTTAGTTACAGCAACCCTAGGAAACCCATTTAGCATGTAAGATTATTTTAAGGCAAACACCAAAAGCATCCATCACAGAAAGGGAAAGAGGGCCTAAGAGTGATGTGCCTGATTGTCTTAGGGATCAGAAAGGCCTAATAGCATGGACGTCTGTAGTTACATTGTATTTTCTTGTCTTACCAAACCTCTCTTTTTAATTACCGTGTTTCATTTTGTTTTAGAAAACTCACATAAAATCTGTTCTGCTTAACTAATTACAAGGCACTTCCGACCTGTGTGCTTGTAGTATCATACAAATGGTAACTGATCTGACCTTAAGAGCGGGGTCACGGCTTATGGGAGGGAAAGCGCCTTTTCTCAGCATTGAATTTAAAAAAAGTTGAAAGGGAAGAGCAACCTCGATTCAGCTATGCAGCATCTCTCTTCCACAGGTTGTACTGCTGACTGCGGCCCTCTCCCTTGCAGGAGTGCGGTCGTTGCTGTCTGGGGCGAGCAACCTGACTCCTCACAACTAGGAGGGGTCAGGGCAAGACAGGGTGCGGAGAAAAGCAAGGCTTCCTTCAGCCTCCTCCCGCAGGGCAGAGGAACGAAAACCAGCCCCCGCCTTGCGCGCATGCTCAGTCGGGCGGGCGCCTTCCACAGAGAGCGCCCCGGCTCAGGTTTTCCCCGCAGCTGGGGAGGTGCCGGGAACCGGCCGCGGCCGGGCGGACCGAGGAAACTCTGGCCGGCTGGCTGGGCGGGGCCGCCGCTCACTCAGCCCGACTTTCATTTTCCTGCCTCGGTAACCTTGTTCCCGCCACCGTCAAAGGGAGCGGGGCGGAGCTGTGCACAGCCCGGTAGGGTGGAGCCCGAGGGCACCCTAGTTAAATGGCTTTTCAGGGGTTTCGGGGGACTGGAAGGCCGCGCTTCTGGAAGAACACACTCCCTGAGAAAATCCTGGGGCGGTCACTCTTCTCGACTGCCCAGACCTTTGTTTTTAAACCAGCCACAGCCAGGACAACCCCAACTGTCCCACTGTTGCTTCCGCTAAGATTAAGAGCCCTCCCAGCGACCACCTTCCTGCTCTGTGCCCAGCGGGCCCATAGGCTGCTTTGAAAACGGGCGTCCTCAGGTATTTATCTCCCAGAGGCGCCGGCTTCATCGCCTATACGTCCATTCCAGCTTCGTTTCAGGATGTCGGCTCTGCTTCCCCACCACCTTCCTGGGTCTGAGGCGGCCCAACGTCTCCTCCGGGAAATTCCCGCCTGTGCATCTGGGTTGTCCCGTAATGAACAAGGGCCCGTTTTCCGGGTGTGGGTTGGCGGGGTCGGAGAGCCAGCAGGGGCAAGCCAGACGGTAGCACGCGGAGACTCAATATCCCCGCGCTCTGCCTTCTCCGGGCCCACCCACCGCACCTCAGGCGGTCGCCATCAAGCTGCTCCGCAGCGGCTGCAGCTGGTCCGCAAACACGCCCACCCGCACGCTCAGATTCACTTGCCTCGGGAGGCGGGGGGGTGGCGGCACTGAGCATGCTCGGTGAAGAGGGCGGGGCCCCTCCGGGGCCGCGAGTCGGGGCAGGCGCTCCTCAGGCCCGCTCGGCGTCTCCGCCGCCAGCCCGCTCGGAGCCGCGCCCGCCGCAGGCTGCGCCCGCCCGCCCCGCCCCGCCCCGCCCCGCCCCCCGCCGCTCGTCCCCGCCGCGGCCGCGCCGCCTGCAGCAGCAGCAGCAGCAGCTGCTCCTCCCCGGCGGCCGCCCCCCGCGGGTCCCTCCCTGGCTGCGGGAGAGACAGAGGTAGAGGGAGGACACAGCGCCGCGCCGCCCGCACCGGAGACCTTCGCCTCGCCCTGCAGGCTCCTCACCCTCTGGGAGAAACATGGGTAAGTCATCCTTCCTCCCCCGTCATCGCCTGACATTTTTCTCTTTCTCGGCGTGTTGCAGGGTGGGAAGCATTTCTCGCGCAAAGTTGCCGGATTTCTCAAAGCCACGGGTGTAATACAGTGGCTCTTCCTCCGGGGAGAGGCGGCGCACGCGGAACGCACGCCGGTCCCGGGTCTGGGAGGGTCCGGGTGGGGTCGGGCCGCGGGGTCGGACCGCCGCCCGGCTCTCGGGCACCTCGCTGCTGCGCCTCCCCTCCTCCATTCTTCCTGCCCGAGCCGGTGCCCGGGCACCGCGGAGGCTGCCTCGCGGGCTAGCATCCTCTGCCCCATTCCCGTTTCTCCGGAGGCCACCCTCTTCCTTTCCCCGGCGTCTGCTGGTGTAGAGTCTCGGTCGGACCGCGAGAGAGACCACTTCGTGTAACTTCCGTGTCAGGGCGACCTTTCCCCATCTTGGGGACTGTTCATCCCGAGGCGGGGAAGTGCGAGCAAGTAGTTTGTCAGGGCGATTGTACAACCTGCATGGAAATTATTTTTGATGGGGGAGAACGGACAGCCTCATAGGTTGGAAGGATGACTTGTCAGAGGCCACGAGGAACGTGAGGAAGGATGGATAGAACCGCTAGCTGTTGAGTTAGTGTTGGGTGACTACAATGTGCAATATTCCTGTGCTCAACCCATTTTTTTGGTTCCTTCGCCTGTCTACTGTAGGAGGAAACGCACCCTGTAACGTGTTACCGAACTTACATGTTAGTTATTCTTTCCCAGCTTCCCCTGCCTAAATCTACATAATCTGATTTTAGTTCCTTTGTATGTATGGTTAATCTCAAGAAATTGTTTTGGGTGAGATATTTAAAAGCAAATGTATTTTCTAAAACTACATATGATTTATCTTAAAATTTTTTCATAACGTATTAAGTTCAGTAATTACAAAAACGTCTGATGACTTCTGTAATTAGAAGACGATTTTTTTTAATAGTAGCAATTTGGAATACCATACTTCTACATGTAACAAGTTTGCTTCCACTCCTATCATAATTTCCTCTTTTTAAAATTTGCTCCATTGGCATCTGTCAACTCGGACTTTTCCCACCCCTTCCGTGCAAGTTATTTTAAACCTAAAATGAATGTGGTTCTTTCATCTGTCAATACAGTGCTCAACACGTCTAGAGTTCAGTCATGGTAACTCAGAATCCTCAAGGAAGTAATCTGAATCTAGAAATGGTGTCGATGGAGCTTACTGGAAAAGCAGATGCTCCAAGCTCTGTTTCAGACCTTTGGCCATATATTGGGAAGGGACTGGTGTTGCAGGAGGAGGTGGTATGAATGAAAAATGAATCTATGGCCCTGAATTTTATTTTCAGTTCAGTTTTTTTCCCCCTTTTAATGTACTATTGGTATGCTGAACAAATTTATATAAAATTGACCCATATTTACCTAGCTTTTCTCTAGGAATAGAATTTTAAATATTAATTCAGATTACTGGACACATGAATTTTCCTTGAACATACAAAAATTTTCTCCTTAATTATAGGGCACAAGTTTGGCCTGTAAAATACATTTATCCATGTTTCAAGGTGAGCTAAAAAATCCATTTAAATAAAATTTTAACTTACAGGTTGAGTCAGAATCTTTTCAGTAGAAAAAAATTCAACTCTGTTGTAATATTTATGAATAAAAATACTTAAATTTATTTAAAAATAATTGATCTTCAAAATCTTGAATGTTATTGTTTGATTTCAAACAGTGGTCAGGTAGAAACCCATCTCTCATTTGAAGCTTCTAAGATACTCTTTAATTAAGTAAGTCTCCTCATAGCATTCTGTACCTTGTTGGAGCCTTTTTAGCACTTACATAATCTGCCTTATAATGGAGTGGTTTATGTGTGTGTGTTGTGCACTTAGTCATGAGTTCCAGAATATGTAAATTATGTCTTATTAATTTTTATGTACCCCGCAGTGCTTTCCACATAGTAGATATTCAATAAATCTTTGTGAATTCACTGTTGAACTTAAAAACCTATCTGTTAATTTCAATTTATGAACCTGAAAGTATGGGCTCTGAACATTCAGGTTGGTAGATATTATGGAGGTTGGAGGAATTGGGAACAGAAAAGTATAATTATACTATGAGTACTCTTCTTGCTAAATAAAAAAAAAAAAGAAAGAAAGAAAGGAAGTTGGGTTGTCTCAGAGGTATGGTTTTTGGGATAGCCTCCAGGCAAACCATTTCCTTCTGCACTGCTGTCTTCCTTGGTAAGGTGGTTTAGTGTGTGATCACTAGGTACATGCAATAATGTAAAATTGAAATCTTGGAAAGCAGTTTCATATTCTGAGCCAAGGAAATTATAACAATTAATATATACATAAGGGGTACCCTGATGAGGGTAGGAGAAAAAATCACTTTTTAAAGTCTTTCCAAGAAATAAATAAGGTGATTTAAAAAAATATTCATGTGGCAGTGATTTTTCTCTGTAAGAAAGTGAAGAAAACTTCCTATATAGTCTTACGGGCCATGGCTATAATATATATTTTATTATAAATTCAATATACTTAATATTTATTGAATATCAACCATGTACAATGTATTGTGGGAGGACAGAGATGAGTAAGACATTCGTACTTCAAGTTGCATATAACCTTAATAGGAATGATATGATACATACACAGAAAGCTATAATAGAAATAAACTATAAGTGACATAAAAGACTTTTACATGTATTATAAATTCAGGGCATGGAGAAAAGGTTTTAGAAGAATGATGTTACTTGAACCAAAGGTTGGTTAAGCTTCTGAAAGGTAGAAATGAATGGAGACTGTTAATCAGGATGGGGGTTGGCAGGAGAAAAATGGCACAAATGATGATATAGAGATAGAGAACACTCAAGGAGTTTCAGGATATGATTAAAAAGCCATGTTTGGCTGGAGCAAAAGGTAAGTTAAAGTGGGTGACAGAGAGGAAAAAATATGGGTAAAGACCGGATAATGGAGGACCTTAAATGCCAAGTTGAAGAAGTTTTTGGACTTTGACTTATCTATTGAGGGACTATGAAACATTTTTATGTAGTTAAGTGATGGATCACATCTGTGGTTTAGGAAAATTAATCCATTAATTGAGTGAAGGATGGGTTAGATGAGAAAATAGAGAACACTTCAGAGGATGGTTGTTGAAGTTTGGATGAAAATATTTACCATCCTGAACTAGGCTGTGGCAATGGGAATAGAATGTTGCAAATAAAGAACAGGATTTAGTTGCCAATCAATTGAATATAGTTGAGAAAGGAGACACATAGTATTGCCTGGGCAATAAAGAGAATCCAGAACTATTAATATATATTTAATTCATTGGAAGAGGAAACATGAATAGTCAATTTTGGACCTGATGAGTTTGACTGTTTAGTTTGCCATTTAGATTCTCTGCTCATTGATGACAGGGACTCTCATTAGGTTTTGAATACATTTTTTTAAAAAAGATTTTATTTATTTGACACAGAGAGACACAGCGAGAAAGGGAACACAAGCAGGCTAAGTGGGAGAAGGAGAAGCAGGCTTCTTGCTGCGCAGGGAGCCTGATGCGGGGCTCGATCCCAGGACCCTGGGATCATGACCTGAGCTGAAGGCACATGCTTAACGACTGAGCCACCCAGGCGCCCCTGAATACATTTTTAACATTAGTGTCTGCCACATAGTAGCCATGCAGTAAACATTTGTTGACTGACTGAAACTAGGTAAAAAATATTTAACAAACAGTTATTTTAACTTTTAAGAGAGGATTTGAATAGAGATCTGGAAGTTATCCATAAATATCCTAGGATGATATTTCAAGTTAGGTTGGAGTCAGAAGAAAATTTGTCCAAGGTAAGAATCTTGAGGAGTGACCCATTGTTAGGGAAGAGGAATGGAATGATTTGACACTGAAAGAGAAGTTAGGTAGGAGTGAAAGACTAGAATTGGCATGTGGCTAGTTGCATTAAAGACTGGATGGTCAGTAATGTCCATTGCTTCAGAACAGAGTGGTAAGGACTGAGAAAAGGATCTGCGTTGATGTGGTTTGATTAGGATATTACCCAGGATATTTTCTAAAAAGCAGCTTTAAAAGGTATAGTAGATATGGAGGCCAGTTGTAGAGGCTAACTGAGGAATGAGTAAGTGGAACTAAGAATTCACTGTGTATTCATGCTGTATCCCTTGACCTATTTAAAGATCTGTAAATAAGCATAGGTTTCTTTAAACATTTTTAAAACGTGGCACTTTACATGGAATGACACATGCTATTTTTTTCCCTGACAATAATTTGTAGTCTCACCATAGTGCTTCACATTTCTTTGACATTCTATTTTTTATGTCATTATGTCTTAGTATAGTATACTTTTTATGTTTGCACTATCTGTCATACAGAGTGAGCTTAGAAATGGTTTTATAATTTTACATGGTATTTTACATAAAATATACTCTTTACTGATGAATGGTTTTATCACTTTTTATTTACTATTAGTCTTTGTGAATTTGGGATTTCTCTAGTTATATTTATGCCTCTTATTATACCCTTAATTCCTGGAGTTTTTTCTCTATAAATATATATTAGCTTTATAGAGAAATCTTTTTTTTTCTTCCTCTTGTATTTTTAAGTCCAGGAATGGTTTCACAGATAAATGTAAAAATAATACTTTTACTTGTTTTTTTGTAAATTACAGTGATAGTTTTTTTTTTGTAAAGTGATAATCACTAAAATTTATTATTTTAAAAGATCATAGATGACAGATTGACTAGTTCAACAATTTTTCCTTATGTTGGCATTATATCTATGTCCCATATACCTGTTTTTTTTCATATGGGAAAAGGGTTAAATTCACTATCTTTGCAAGAGTCATATTCTGAAGTCTCTAGTACTACTATATGGAAAGTTATAATAACCCTAATTCATTTTTGAGAACTGTAGAGTTTTAACTTTCACAATGGAATGTTGGAGCTTCTAGATGCCTTTGGGGGAAAATAGTGTGGTTT